TATATATATATATATAGTGACAGCTCTATAACTATTTTTTGACTTGGAAGGACGATGAATGAAATGTTGCAAGATATGACTTCATTTGTTTATGTTCAAGCAAGGATGGAAGGCATACTGTTCGAGAGACTAGAAAAGCCTGACTTACCTAATCCAATTTTCTCCCTCTTAAAGGACTATTTTAGCTCTTTTTAACCAAATTCATCTCATGATTTGACCTTCCGCGAGTAAGCAAAATAGAAATAAGTAAAGAAAAATTGGTTATCATTATAAAAGTTTGTATAACATCTCATAATAGTCACGTTTTCTAGTAACTTCTTTTATGGGTTGCATGAAAAATATATTTGTTTTTATAAATTCCAAAAATTATTGGAGAATAACATCATCATATGATAAGTTCTATCACAAAGATGAATAAAATGACAATTGTCACGTATTACATTAAATTTTTTTAAACAGGTCAGTCATTATGTCCTTGCCGTAACCACTTAACATATAAGTATTCTAAAACTCCAAAACCTAATTAACTCATGGTTAGTCCATACGAGGCTTATATAGACAATAAAGGCAAAAGGAAAATAAATTATTTATGAAATTTGTAACATGATATAATTTTTTGTTTTATAACATATGGCAAAATTAGTAACATGTTCTATAATATTTAGTTGGCTTTGTATATGGACTAGAGATATATTGATTGTGTGCCATTAATTTACAATATATGAAGCTTAAATGATTTTTTTGTCCTGCCAAATTCCATGGAGGACAATTTATCTTAAATGTAGATGGCTAACTTTAGCAATTGTATGAGTATAGATTGGTGCTATATATATATATATATGTGTGTGTGTGTGTGTGTGTGTGTGTGTCATAGGTCTATTGGTAACATACACAAAATTTGTAGAACTTTATGTTTATTTTTTATGTAAATTTATAATTATATTATGAGTCTCTCGATAGTTGGTAAGTTTTCAATAATGGTATGAAGAGTTTTATTAGGCATTTAGATTTTGATTTTATCGCGGTTGATTTATGAAATTATACTATTTGTGATTCTAATGAATTTTGGATTCATGTATTACTACTTTATCTAATACCCTTTTTGTCTTTAGCTAATAAATGATAGTGGAATCAACTCATTAATATGAAGTCTAGCTATTTATTTGATGTTGTTGCATATGAATATGATCCATTTTTTTATTTAAAATAAATAGTTGTAGTCATTCTGATAATGACTTTCCCTTACAAAAGAGAAATTGATGAAAGGATGTGCTTGTAAATATCTATAAACACTATTAATGACTTCGCTCCGCAGCGTTGCATGCAAATTTCATAATTACTGCAAAAATGGAGACTTAAATGTTGTAGCGGTAGTTTTTGGTATCGTTGTGCTCTCAAACATAGCGCCGCAGTGCCCGAGCACTCTAGTTTAGAAAAAAAAAAAAAAAAAAAACATAATTTAAAATACTTTTCAATTTTGGTTTGTTACAATATTGGACATAGGGTTGCTAATTGTTTGAAGTTTAGGCTTGATAGACATTCTGAGGTGAGAGCTAAGAGTTCTCACCAGGTGGGGAGACTGTGAGCTGGTGTCTTCTAGTAGAAGTGGTGATCAATCTACAATGAGATAGATTTATAAAGGCCAAAGAGAGTCTGGAGGTCCTATTGCTCTAGCCCCAGTACATGCCATATTGTATAGTTACATATCTATAATTGTATGCACGTTATTAAGACACAATATGATAGAATATTCACTAAAATTTTTGAAATAATATGACAATTTTTTTTCAAATTGGTGTTATGTCCATTTTGTTGAAATTTAACATTTTCAAAAAGTAAAGCAAGGCTTTATTTTTTTATTTACCAAAATTTTTTAAACAAGATAAAAATAATTCACATTTGCATTTAAAATTATAGATTTAGAAATTTATATAAATGTGTAGTACATTTTTAAATATATTTTCTTATTTATTAAAGCCGATAAAAACATTAATTGATGTAAAAATTTAAAATATTATTCTAAAAAACGATTATTTACATTTATTTTATGGGATTCCACCCAATAATTTATTAGACTCTGATCATTGCATTTCTTCATTTCACATATATTTTAACAAAACACTATGCCTTGCATTCGTGGCTACTTGGGCAACATTTGCTGGCCCGAACCTCGAATATGTCACAAGAGGAGATTTCTAAGCAATTTTCTTATCTGCGCTTTTCGTTTTATTAATGCTAATAAATTTTAATAGTGTTTTAGTATTAATTTTAATTTTAATTGATGCTAATAAAGTATAATTTAAAAAATTATATAATTAGAAAATAATTTAATTATGAAATAACTTGATAATTTTAATTTTGATATTTTTAATTATTAATTTTAGAAACATAATACTAAGTTAAGTGTTGCATAGATGAGGATGCTTAGGTGGATGAGTGGCCTTAACCTTAGAAATAGGATACAAAATGCGTATATACGTGAAAATGTTAGAGTAGCTCCAACGTAACATAAGATTAGAGAGTCTCCTTAGATGATTTGGTCACATTAAATGGAGGCATTCTGATGACCAAATTATGAAAGTTGAGGTATTAGATTTGACTTATGTTAGGAAAAGTAGGAGTAGAACTAAAAAGACTTGATTAGAAAATATTATAAATGATATTTCTATATTAGATTTAAATGAGAATTTTACTTTTAATAAGACATGATGGGGGAAAAAGCATTCACGTAGTCGACTCCACGTAGTGGGACACATGCTTGATGACGTTGTTGATTAATTATTAATTTTGACTATCATTATTATCTAATTATTATACATTTTAATTTGAATCTAATTTAATTATCAATGAATTTAAATAATTATTAATTAATTTTAATTAAATTAGTTATTAAGCTAACTGTTCCTATGTTTTAGTTCTCTTTCCATGCCATTCTGCACTCTCTATATCCGCTGGTTTGCTAGGGTTTGCTTTTACTCTTCTCCGGCTGTTCGTTGCCCTTCGCCTTCGCCTTCGCCTTCGCCTTCGTGGCGTGAGGGATAGAGTTTTGAACACGTCGCTAAATAACTTCCTCGCCTTCTTCGACGACGTTCCTTCCTGTCGGATCCAAAGTCACACCTCCTCGCCGTTATTCTGTCGGATCGGAAGTAACGACGACGACGGGAGCTTGCTCGTTGCGAAGGTAGCCATCTTTCTTCCTTTCGTGCGCTTCTTCGGCCAAATCCAGAAAATCCGCCGAACTCCTCGATTTAGTAAATCTGGTATTTAAGGCAAAAAGAGGGAAACGGAGGATTTAACTTGCCGTGAGATTTAACAGTTCCCTAAATCCTGTATCCAAACAGCCCCTGATGGTTTTGAGTGGTCTACATGAGAATGTTTATTCATATAATGTATTGCTATATCGTTTAGCTCTGTTGCGACCGGTCTTGATAGTCTGTCTAGCACAACAATTGGTTGGATAAATTATGCAAACCTTTTTGATATAGTTGATTCTTTTTCAAATAGTAGGCCATTGCTAACTTGGTCTGTAAATACAATACTAAGCATCCTTGATGATTTTCAGTTATGCTAGTGTTTGTTCTTGGTGTTGGTATTTTGGAGTGGTTAGTGTGGCTCCTAATGTTGGTGATTGTATTTGAACTGATTGCTGGCTGGTTTATGGAAATGAATCCATACGCAGGAGAATCCTCTGTTCCATTTTTGGGAATATTTTAAAATTTTTTACTCATGACTTCAAGTACTCTTCCCAAACAAAATTTGTACTATTATTTCTTTGAATTAATAATGCGAATTATGTTTTGAGATGTTGGATGTTCATCTTTTTGGCATGCTTGGCACCATAATGCTCACTACGTCTTCTTTTCCTACCAGATATTATATATGGACTTAAATGCATCTCCTTTACCTGAAGATGATGAGCTGCCTACTCAAGAACCTGTTGAGGATTTGATTTTAGATCAACCAATAAATGAGTCATCCGTTCAGACCTTGCATAGAGTACATATCTTTCCTTCCTTTTGTTTTATTGCATTTTATTGAATTCAAATTTTTTTAATGAGAATTTGGGTGATCACGTTGAAGTTGGGCTTGTGATAACTATTAAACCTCTCCCAATCGTTATCATGTTTTATCAAAAATTGTTTTACATCTTTCTGATGTTTTTAATTATGTTGAAGGTTGTAGTCCCCTTGCCCAAAAATTTGAAATTCTTAATGTTAATTTATCTTTTACATTCAAATTTTTTTTTTCCATAAATTTCCGTTCGCGTTCATGGATAATTCCTCATTATCTCATTTTATACATGCATGCCCACACATTCACAATGATCACTACTGTTGCGTAGCTCTGGAAATTGCAAATTCACCTTAGGTAAATTTTTGACGTTCATTGTATATGCAATTATTGTTTAAATTGGATTCTATTAAGTCATTTGTGGGACTTTTAGTTGAATAATAACACAATAGGAGATGATTGGCTTGCAACATGCTTTATGGTAGAAATATGAATTTACTTTGAAAATCTTTGTATATTTGAGATTTTCTTAATATATTTTTAATTTTATCTAATATTTATCTCAATTGTTTTTAATTCCACAACAAAAGTAACAACACAACATCAACTTTTTATTCCACTATGTGCAGTCGGCTACATGAATTCTTTTTCCTATGTTGTGTCCTGTTAAGAGTCAAGTTCTCATTTAAATTTACTAAAAAGTCATTAATAATACTTTATAACCAAGTTTTTTTAAGTCTGCTTCTACCTTTCTTAACATTGGCTAGATATAATACATTTACTCTCCTAACGGGGTTATTGGAAGATCAACATTTTATATGACCAAACCGTGTAAAGCTACTCCCTCTAATCTTATCTGCCATTGGAGCTACTCCAAACTTTTTACATATATACTCGTTTCGCATTTTGCCTCAAGTATAAAATCACCATCCATTTGAGCATTCTCATCTATGTAACACTTAACTTATCTTTTAATGCTGCACCATAAAGCATTGTAGGTCTCACTATCGTTTTATAAAATTTCCCTTAAGTTTGAGGAGAGCTTTTCTCTCACACAACATGCCCGATGCATTCCTCCACTTCAACCATTTAACTTAAATTCTACTAATAATATTCCCATATATTTTTCACCATAACCTTGAACAATAGATCCGTGATATTTAAAACGTGTACTCTTATTAATGACTTGATCGCCCAAAGTCACAATTTCCCCAATAGATTCGTTACTACTAAATTATACTCTATGTATTCGGTTTTAGGTCTACTCAAATGAATACCTTTAGACTCTAAGGTTGAGCTCCATAATTTAAATTTTACTTCAACTCCATCTCTAGTTTTATATATAAAAAAAGAATATCATCAACAAAAAGTATACACTAGGGTACCTCTTGCAAATTTCTAGTAAGAGCATCCACGACTAAAGTAAAAAGAAATGGACTTAAAGCTGATCCTTTGATGTAATCTAACTAAATTAGGAAAATACCTGGGCAAACCACATTGTGCTTGAACAGAAGTAACAACTCATGCATACATATCCTAAATGACTTGAATTTAAGCATCATTAACTCATTTCTCTCAAGAGCACTTTTCTTGGAGTTTTATCTTATGCTTTTTCTAAGTCAATAAATATCATATGTAGATCCTCCATATTTTCTCTATACTTCTCTGTTAAACCTCTCAATAAATGTATAGCTTCCATAGGTAGACCTATCCGACATGAATCAAAATTAATTTTGAGGAATATTAGTATCACGTCATAACCTATACTCGATAACACTCTTCCATAATTTTAATGTATGACATATTAACTTAATTCCTCTATAATTTATACACTCTTGTGCATCACCTTTATTCTTAAAAAAATGGAATCAATACACTCCACTCATATAACATTTTTTAATCTTCAAAATAATAATAAAAAATAATAAGCTAAGAAACTCCATCTCTTAATCATTTTCAAACATCTATTGAAATATCATTAGGTTTAAGTGCTTTTCCACACTTCATTTTTTTAAAGCCTCTCTAACTTCGGTTTTACTAATACGATGATAAAAAAAAAATTTATGTTCATTTATGGTGCCAATGTCACTAAAGTCAATTGTATTCTCACAATCATATTTGAAAAGCTTATCAAAATGTCTCATCCACCTATGTTGAATATCATATTCTAATAAAAGTACTTTTTTGATCTTCATCCTTATTGCACTTCATTTGAACTAGATCTTTACTTCTTTTATTTTTTTTACTTAGCTATCCTATGCATACATCTTTCATCCTCTTTCATTTCTAATATATTATATAAATCATTAAAAAAATTCTTTGCATCATATATTGATATATTAGACTCACGGATCACTTTATATCTTTCCCAATTTTTGAGTTTTTACATTTAAACAATTTTTTATAAAAAAAAATTTTATTTTTCATTTTTTCTTGCACATTTTGGTTCCACAAGCTATTTTTATTATTACGAGTTTTTCCTTTTGTCATACTTCAAGCACATTCTTTGCAACAATCTTAATATCATATACAACTTTTTCCCAAATACTCAGTCAAAATCTTAAAACCTTGAAACTTGTTAGTGTCCTTTAAATGCTCCCATCTAGTCCTAGGATAGTTTTTTACTTTATTTTTCATATTCTGTCCCTTCATCTTAAAGTTTAAAATTAATAAGCAATGTTGAATGCATAAGCTTTCACTCAAAACAACTTCACAATCCTTGCAATCTTAATGATCTTTTTTTTTACAACAACAACACCATCATCAAGCCTTTATCCTACTACGCGGGGTCGACTACATGAATCCTTTTTCTCCATTGTGTCCTATTAAGAGTCAAATTTTCATTTAAATCTAATAAAGAAAATGTCATTTCTAATATTGTTTAACCCAGTCTTTTACGTCTACCTCTACTTTTCTTAACATAGGACAAATCTAATACATATACTCTTTTAACAAGGTCATTAGAAGGCCGCTGTTTTACATGACCAAACCATCTAAGGCGACTCTCTCTAATATTATCTGTCACTAGAGCAACTCCAACCTTTTCACGAATATGCTTGTTTCGTATCCTATCTCTGAGAGTAAATTCACTCATCCACCTGAGCATCCTCAAACAATGTATTAAAGGAATAATTTCATGATTATTCGATAAGTTTTATGTTGACTATCGAGTACCTAACAAAACCCTCCATTTATCTCATTCAGAACTTGGGACCTGATAATGATAGTGTTTTACTATGCCCATTCTTATAAGTGATGAGATACTCATATCTTTTCTTTAATAAAACATTAGAAATTACAAAATCATAGGCTAGAGCAAAATCTAATATGATCCAACTATCTTCGTTAGTCGCTCCAAATTTATAGCCACAATGAATACTTTTAAAATCTTCTAATACTCTACCAATATGTCTATTTAAATCGACTCTAATAAAAAAAATTCTTTTTTCAAGAGGTATTCTGATGAGGACATCCGACCTTGGAGATTCTTACAAAGGCGTGGCCGTCGATCTACATTCACGATTGCACCACTTTACTTTTCATTATCATTGTATTCATTGTATTTAGAAATTACAAATTCATTATCATTGTATTAGATTTATTATTGATGTATTAGTTTATTATGTTTATGAGTTTTATTGTACATTTTCTTTTATGCCCTCACTTGAGGGTCTAGTTGGTCTTTTGTATTTTCTTCATCATTGGCTATTTAAGGCCTCCTCCTTCTTTGAGTGGATGATGAATATTACTAAAAAAATTTCAGCAATTGTGTTTTGAGAGCTTGGAGAGTTTGGTGAGAGTTTGAAGTACTTAGGTGAAGGTAGCGTATTACCCACCAGCCGCAGAAAGCGTCCGGGCTCGTGGTCCACTTCTTCCACTAACCCCCTCCCCTCTCTTCTCCTTAAACCGCTGGCCACCACCTCCCATATCCCTCTCTCGGCCGAACCTCCACACCACCACCTCAAACCCTAGGCCGGCCACCCCTTCTTCCACCCTACAAGCCGCCGGCTCCCATCTCCCCTCCTCTTGGCCGAAACCCTACACCCTTCCTTTCCCCTCTTAAGCCGTCAGCCTAACCTACCCTAGCCCTAGCCCCTTTACCTCCTTATTCTTCCTAAATTAAGTTGTTTTAATTTTGGTAAGTTTTGAATTCAAATTCAAACGAATTTGAAAGTTCAAATTCTTTCCTAAATTATTTAGCTTAATTTTGGAAAGTCTTCGTTCAATCAAGGATTGATTAAATATTAAATTGGTTGGGAATCAATTCAAATACCCACATTTATTGAATTTGGACAACTCCCTTCACCTCTCTCTTTTGTCGACCCCTCTCTCTCTCCTAACTTAATTAATTAATTCTCTAATTGGACATCCCCTCTTCTCTCTCCTATATGACCTAAATACCAACCAATCAAGCCCAATTAAGCCTTGATTTGGCCGGCCCCCATCCCTCCCTTTTGCAATTAATTAGGACATTTAAAACTCAAACTTTCCCTCCCCTTTTCTCCACCAAATCTGAACCAAAATTCCCTAATTCTCCTAATCTTGGCCGGCCCCTTCCTCCCCCCTTTAATCCACTAAAAATTTGAGCCAAATTATTCCCCCCCCCCAAAGCTTGGCCGGCCACCATTCACCTCCTTCTCCTTGGGTTCCTTTAGAAATCCCCTCTCTTGCAAGATGATTAGTCAAGGACATCAAGGATCTTTCCTCCACCACACCAAAGCATCATTCTCCTCGTGAATGGCCGATCCGGATCAAGACCACGACTTCATCTACAACAATTAAGGTCTCATCAACATCCTCCGCTCGCTGTTCTTGGACCTCAATCCAAATGTCGATAACTCCGCCGAGGAATACGTGGAGTGAATCCTATTCACTTTTGCAAGCATCGTAGATGAACAACTCTGTTCAGTGGCAAGTATCATCCAAGTCTCGGCGAAGGTGAACTCTTCCTCCAAATCCTATATATTCCTAATTGCTCTCAATTGTGGTCTTAATTGATTCATAAAGATTGTGTTAACTCCCTCCGCTAAGCCTAGTAATTTAAAGAGTTGAGTGAGTGATCTCTTTCGTAGTGACTAATCTCATTGTTAATTTAGGGACTTCTCGTTGAAAATCATTCATGTATGTTATGCCTAAATAATTGATTATTTTGTGATCTTAACTTCTAGTTGTGTGACTTGGTCTAAGTTAGTTTCACCTCACTCGTTTTCTTTCATTATTTAAAATCACTGCAAGTTTAATAACAAACATTGCTCTCAAATAAAAACGTGCAACTTCTTATTTAACATTGCCTAAGCATTTAAGTCCTACATCATATTCTTTTTATTAATTATTCTAAGTTATTTAACATTTTTAATTTTGAACATATATAGAAACCTACTTGAGGAGTGTATATACTTACAATATTAATAATCGTAGCATCAACAATAATATTTAAAGCTATAATTCTATATTCAATTCTATTAATTTATATAATATTATCCTTCAGACTTTTATCTATAATCACACCTACACTATTTTTAATGTGACTTGTACTTGAATACCATATTTTAAATACTAAACTATCAATCTCCTTAATTTTCTCTCAAATCCATTTAGTTTCCTGAATGAATAAAATATTTATCTTTCTATGAAACATAAGATATCAATTCCATTAATTTTTCTATAAGAGAACTCATATTCCAAGTTCCTACCTTAATTCTAGGTTCATGGACTGGCTTCTTTGCCCACATCCTTCCATGATGTGGGAACCCTTTCTTATTTAACACCGCTCCTCTGCGCCCATGTAGTGACCTTTGCACACTTCTCTTTGTATTCAGGCTATATAGAGCGTCGCTTCCAAGGAACGCCCTAGCTTCATCACAATGCATTAAATGATTCATGTATGGCTATCGATTACTTAACACAACCCTCCATTTTTCTTATTCAGGACTTGGTACCTGACAATGACAATGTTTGTTTTTATCTCTCATAACTCTTAATTTAACTTATCATTTGCCATATGGCTTATGAAAACAAAAGCATCTTGTAATGGATGGTAGAGTGTGCATCAATAAAATAGGTGCATAAATTCATATTGATGATTTACATGGAAAAAATGGTTGACTAATGTTAACATGATAGACATTGTGCAAATCGATTTTTATATAGTAGAGGTGATGCCTCTTGTAGCAGTGTAGCACTTGATAGAAATTAATGACCATGATAATTAATAAAACATGTACTAAGTGATCTGGATAGGATTAATGATGACGATAGGGGGTGCAAGTGAGCTGAACTGGCTCGAGATCGACTCGATAACGAGTTTGAGAGTTGAGCTTACCGAGCCGTGAGCTTGAGCTCATCTAGTAAACGAGCTCGAGTTCGAGCTTGGTGAGGCTCGACTCACGACTTGGCTTGTAACAATAAAATAATAGGAATTTTTTCTTAAAAAATATAGCCAAGAAATTTTTATTTAAAAATCAGCCAAGATTTTTTTCACTTGACAAAAGCTGCTAGCATATCTAATCTTTGAAAAAAAAGCTCACCTTTCAAAGAAAAGCTGTCTTTCATTAACAACAGTGCAACAATGTAGAAAAAAAAATTAAAGCTGCATGTTCCCAAGAAAAATATAAAAACAATTTAACCTCTTCTCACGCGGTAGATACCAGTACACCTTGGGAGGCATGCATTTTTCCTTTCCGGTAGCTGTTCTTCCTCTCCGTTGCTTTTTTTGCCGAGATCTCACGAGCGGCTCGCGAGCTCGTTTTTTATCATCATGAGCTGAGCTTGAGCTCTCTCTTTAAGGTCGAACTCGAGTTTGAGCTCATGATTTAGCTAGCGAGTTGAGCTCGAGCTTGACATGACTCAAGTTCGACTCGACTTGACTCGTTTACGTCCCTATGGTGGTATCATTGGTAACTTGATGAGTTTGTTTTGGAAAATTACTATGGCCAAAATCCATGTTTTGTTTATCTCTTTAAGGTGTACTTTTTACTCCGTTCGCCCAATGAAAAATTTCTTCTTCCACCTTATTGAAGCGGCATGAGTAGGTAGACTATTTGGCATTTGATATTATGAATGCTTGCCATTTTTTGTATTATTCTTACCAAAATGATCATATTTTGAGCTGCGGGAGTTGTAAATTACACATGCACATGCATATACTTATTAGGCATATGCTTATTGAAAACTTTCTTTATAGAGTTTGAAAAGCAGTTTTTGTGGTTTGTAATGCTGTGGCTCAATAGTGGTTATTCGATTACATACTTTGAAAAATCCAGACCTCTTAGTTTTAGTGAAGTGTGCATTTGAATAACAAATCGTTGAGGTATGCACCGTAATGATTCTAAGTGATACTTTCGTTGGTTGCAATTGCTTGCATTGTGGGTCTCTTGAATGATATATTTCCTTATTTGCTTGACTGATTGATTGGCTTAATTGTCAAAGTATATTCCCATGCTGGACCCTTATTATTGATATTCTTACTTAATTTGCTTTTTTATCGCTACACGCGCAATATGAATATTAATAGTTTGTCATCAATTATGCAGGAAAGGGAAGAACGGCGCCGTCGGTTGAAAAGAGAGAATAGAGATGAAGTTCCCAGGCAGCATGCACAATTTGCCAGGAATGACTTCATGATTCAAAGTAAAGGATCTAGATATGCTGGAAAAATAAGACCAATTCCACATGGTATGTAGTTGGCAATTTTCTTAATTTCTTGAGAGATTTGTGTCAATTCTTTTTTTCTCCTTTTTTTAGTTTTCATATTTACTTTTGAAATGAAGGACACATTTATCTTGGAATCAGGTGGCAATCTTGTTTATTGGTGTCCTCCCATGCATTTTTATTTATTGAGTGCATTTTTTTGAAGATTTTTGAGTTTCTGGGGTTCACTAATGATAAGGCCATACCCTTTTGATTTCATGTCATAGGCCCTTATGGTTTTCCTTTATATTATGTGATTTCAACCATTGTGATGTTACCATCATACTATAATTTGTCTAGGTACTCTTTAACAATCTCCCCCCTTTCTCTCTCTTTCTTGTTCAATCTCACCATGTTCTTGGGCTGGAAGGGAAGGGGGTTAGCTGTAGCCCTCCCATCATTTCGTCTCCTTTTTTAATTGTCCACACCAATCCTCTTGCTTTCTATCTCTAACAAGTAACAACCATTCAACATGCCCAGGGTTTTCCATTACCCTGTCCATTACCCTCTCTAACTACCGTTAAGGTTTGGTGGAGAAAGAGGTTGGCTCCATTGTACCGTTCCTTTCTATCTCCATTCCTCTACCTTTCTCTTTTTCTAACCCTGACTCAACCCACCCATTGTGAGTGGTGAGGGTGATGAAACCAGGCTCCATGTCCAACACCATATCTCCCCCCGATTCCCCACCCCTGGTTAAAACGGGGAATGGGAAAGATAAAGCCATCATCATTACTATCTCTATTTCTATCATCCCTCTGTTGCATATCTCAATCTTATCTTTTTCCATGTGAAACTAATCATTGTTATCTAGGGTAGTTTGGTCATCATCATTATTTTCTGTGGTAACATTTAGTGGTTCTCAACTTAATATGAAGATCAAAAGAAGACCCTTGCGATCCAATTTGGCTCTGTTCTCATTGTGTTTGTTGCTATATACTAATGATCCTCAATTCAACTAGCTGTGCGAGCTGAAAAGGGTCCAGTTTGGCTGAACAGAAGTGGGGATCTCATCTGGAATTATTCATCCATGATTCGTGTTGGTTCAACAGAATGCACTCTGTAGAGATTATTTTTTGGGTTTGTTTGACTCGGTGTTATCCGTACAGTGGAAGCAAGATGTTGTAAGTTATTAGGATATTTATGTTATTTGTCAAATACAAGATGCCGGATTCAATCTTATTTATATAATTATGTTAGTGTTATCTAAATTATTACTGTTTGGTTCAATATTATTGAATCCAGTACACTTGTGGTGCGTTGTTATTTTCCTGCAGCGAGTCAGAGGAGTGCTGCTTGCAAACTATACATATGTGCAAATGATTGAAGAATAGCTTTTGCAGTGTTAGCTAATTAAAATTTTAAAATCTGGTAGGCAGCCAGGAACTGTGATTTACTAAATCAAAGGTGATGTTTGCTAGTAAGTTGAACTTTGTATAACTTAGAATGATTAGTTTAATGTTATAATGAGAATGGTCTAGTTATCCAATTTTGATTATAGATCAAAGGTCTCAACCTGTTTAACTGATTTAATACTTCCTTATTATCCATTTTAGATCTGTACAAATTGACCAATACATGTTATATAATTCTAGGTGGTTTCAAATTGATACTACATAATTTATTGACTTAATTTTTTATATTTAGTTGCATGACAATGAAACCTTTAAATCACATAAAAAAATATTACTAATATTAGCTTATTAAAATAAAACACATATTTTCATGCTTATATTTTGGCCATGATTTAGACAATGAAGTGATATATAAGTCAATATAAAGATTTATGTGTTATATGCAAATACATAAGAATTTGGAATGCATGCATGTAAATCTCTCATAATTCTAATACAAAATGAAATACAGAACCAGTCGTTATTATCTCAATCCACCTGAAAGTCTCCCTAACATTGAATGATGGAGAACAAGCAAACTTTTGATAAGGTTTGAGCATTATCGACAATTTATAACTCATCATATGATTGGTTTTTGGCATTTATCGTAATAACCACACTGGCCACCGGCAGAGGTACATTGGTGGCTTTGGGGGCATGGGTACCCACGGCCCATTAAAAAGAATTATTCTTAAGCTAAAGCAGCTTATTGGGGAAATAAAACCAAATAAAATATTAACCAAACCTAAATCACAACAGCTTCTCACTGAATCACATAGCAAACTTTAATAAAATATTAACTTCTTTTTTAATTTTCCTTGTTAACCCCTCCACCCCCATCTCTCCATTTATCAGAGATGTGTAAATAGCTTCATGAAAAAAAAAAAAAAATGCAGGTGTATTGAAGCTTTCATGTGGCCTAATTATTAATACTGATTATGTGGAAGTAGCTAACATGGTAGATAGAGAAGCTGGTGACTTGTTTGCTTTAATTAATTTAATTGTTTATTTTCTCTTCCCCTTCATTCTCCTCCTGTTTCTTCACACATTGGCGTAAACTACTTTTTTTTTATTCTTTTGTTTCCTCCTCTCTCTCTATCATTGACTCAACCTTTTTTCCCTTTTAATTTCCTTCTCTTTTTCATAGGAAAAAAAAAATAAATATATAGAAAACTAAAAGTAATATTATTTAAAATCTAAACTTTTTAAACTAATTTAGATGTTTTCCATGCAAACATTAGATTAATTTTTTTTCTATTATTATCCAAATGATAAAGATGTAGTTGAACGGGATATCATGGTTTCTCAAAATCAATTTAGATTCATGTCAGGTAGGTCTATTATGGAAGCTATACATTTATTGAGAGGTTTGATGGGGAAGTATAGAGAGAATAAAGAGGATATACACATGATATTTTTTAATTTAGAGAAAGCATATGATAAAGTTCTAAGAGAAGTGCTTTAGAAGGTTCTAGAAAAGAAAAGAGTTAATAATACTTATATTTAAGTCATTAAAGATATGTATGTAGGAGCTACTACTTGTGTTCAACCACAAGGTGGTTTGATCAAGTATTTTCCTATTTCAGTTGGATGACATCAAGGATCAGCTTTAAGCCCATATCTTTTTGCTTTAGTCATGGATGTTTTTACTAGACATTTACAAGAGGATGTTCCATGGTGTATTCTTTTTATTGATGATATTCTTCTTGTTGATAAGACTAGAGAGCGAGTTGAAAGAAAACTTAAATTGTGGAGGTTGACCTTAGAGTCCGAATGTTTTCGTTTGAGCAGATATAATGCCAAATATATGGAGTGTAATTTTAGTAGTAATATATCTAGTGTGGGGATTGTGACTTTCGGCGATCAAATCATTAATAAGAGTACTTGTTTTAGATACCTTGGATCTATTGTTCAAAATGATGGTGAAAGAGATGGAGATATTATTAGTAGAATTAAAGTTGGATGATTGAAATGAAGGAATGCATTGGGTTTATCGTGTGATATAAATGTACTCTTCAAACTAAAAAGAAAATTCTATAAAATGGTGGTGAGATCTGCAATGCTTTATGGCGTAGAATGTTGGCCATTAAAAGAGAAGCATAAAGTTAAGTGTTGTAGAGATGAGGATGCTCAGGTGAATGAATGACTTTGCACTTAGAGATAGAATGCGAAGTGAGTATGTACGTGAAAGGGTTGGAGTAGCTCTAGTGGTAGATAAGATTAGAGAGAGTCACCTATATGTTTTGGGCACATAAAACGTTGGCCTTTCGATGACCCGGTTAGTAGAGTAGATGTATTGGATTTGACTTATGTTAAGAAGGTAGAAGTATACCTTAACAATCTTGACTAGAAAATATTAGAAATGACACATTTTTATTAAATTTTAAAGAGAATTTGACTCTTAACAGCTCACAATGGAGAAAAATGATTCATGTAGCCAACCCCACAGTGGGATAAAGGCTTGATGTTGTTGTTGTTGTAAGTTTTTCTTTATTATTTAATTTATCTTCTTATATTAACAACTATAACAAATTTTTTTTCAATCCACCAATGTCACTCTCATGTCCGGATGAAAAAGTTTGAGAGTATTTTTAAATTAGAAAATTGTGCCATAATAGAAAAAAATCGAAGCTCCGCCATTGAATACCCTCGTCTAAGTACTAAGGTAATTGAACATGGATTTTATGGAGTTTCATACCACTAAAGATCTCCTTTATGAGTCTAAATGTTTGACTCCTTATTTTCAACAGCACTAGTCTAAATGCAAGCTTAGTTCGATAGCCATAAAGGTATTCGACCATGAAATGGGGTTTGGGTGAGTATAGTTGTTCATATATGTGACTCATTCCTATTGTCCATTATATCCTATGATCAAGGTGATTGACTGAATTTTGTGAAACAATTACTTTGCTTTACGTCACTTCTATCCAAGTTATTATCTTCTATTACAACTATGAGGCTAATGCATGTTGGAAACACGGAGACTCTATACATGCATAAGAACATTTGTTAAGGGTTTTGTTGTTCAATTGATATTTTGACAACAAAACTTGTATTGAGTTTTCTTGGAAAAGGAGTGCAGATACAATTGAATTGAATGGCTAGATTTTCATTCTGGTTTTCGTCAAGATGAAGATTTTATAAAAATTCTTTAACTTTTTTAGCAAATCCAAGAGTAAATAAAGTTATTGCTCAGAAGAGCTTGAATGTTATGATCTTTTTACCAACCCTCAGATGCAAGGGCTATCTTTTGTATTCTTGGTTTGTGAAGATGAGTTAGGTTTTCTATTTTCTTATTGAGACTGTGTATGATTATTCACGCACTTACAAGGATTATATGGATATTCCCAGACGAGCTCATTTTCTTTGTGGTTGCTTGTTGAAGGGACAAGGATGTTAGATATACATAATGTTAGAATGCTAGGTAAAACTCTCTTACATCTTGATTTTTGAAAGCTTGATGTAATTGTTGTTAGTTCAAAGCTTCTAGTTCACTTTTTCTAAGAATCATTTGTTGACCTTTGTTTGTGTGTTTATGGTTGGTTCGTGCACGATGTAAACAACAGATTTTGGATGATGTCACGCAAAGTATCT